ACATGAAGGTGTGAACCACATTAACTGGATCCCTGAAGTTCTCTGAGGCTTCAGGTGGGATTGGCATTGACAAGGAATCTCTTTTTCCTAACCCTAAATATTCCTCAAAGGAATCCTTGTCAGGCCCACAATATCCACTGGATCCATAACCCTCGTATGGCCTTCCTTATGATTTGAAAGGATGACACTAGAAGCTTCGGAATTTGTGTTTTCTCTCCGTTGGCAAGTGTACAATCCAAACGCACACGTTCCTGCGTTAAAAATGGCTGTGTGTATAAGTGGGTGCTGCAGCAACCGTCGGCTGGAACCGAACAAAATCAGCAAGGAAAAATGTCACCAACACACCGAGGATCACCAATATGGGTCCAAAAGTTTTAATGAACGATCACATAGTTACAGCGAGGCAACGTTTCGGAGTCTCGCAGGACCCCTTCATCAGGCATGTGCTGTAACTATGTGATCGTTCATTTTTCCTTTCCTTTCTCTCCTTTGGCGTCACCAAAGAGTCAAGAGTTACGTGAAGGTTTTCCTGTGGTTAGGTACTGCAGATATTATTCCAAACTGCAAAATATAATTAAGAGCTATTTGTGATTCTTTATGCTCTGTTGTCACATTTTGAATTTTAACCTCTGTAGAAGTTATACTTAAGGGCAGGGTTTTTTTTCAACCAGGGTGCCACAGCACCCTGGCGTGCCACAGAGAGAGTTCCCAGGTGTGCCACGGCAAATTACAGAAAGCCGTGTACAGTCTGAGGATTATAGGTTTCCTGTGTTAACTTCTGTGTACAGGGAGCAAGGAGAGCACATCATGTTCCTCCTCAGGGCTCTCTCACCCTCCCTGCTGCTATCTATTCATGGTCATTCCACCCAACCATCTGGTAGAGGCCAGTGGGCCAAGTCATCAACTAAAATTGAGTCACCCTACTGATTCCATCAGTGCAGGTTCCCTTGTTATAGCTTCCCTCTCTGTTCCTACCTACCTTGTTTTGGGTTTACCCATCCACCTCAGGGTATTCTTACTCCTTTGGTACAGTGTTCATAAAATGAAGTAAACAAAAAATCCTCTCACTGTTAGCCATGGAGGAACAAAATAAACTTTTTGTAGAAAGGAAATAATTCCTATGGTAAAAATGGTGTTTGGGTCTGCTTGCCAACTGCAGATATTCTAAGGTGCTTCCCATCCCTTTGTTGGAAAGGGACTATTCAGAAATTCTAATTTTGTAAAAAGGAGGAAAACTGAAAGTTGGGTGGAAGCAGAGATTATTATTATTATTATACAGTATTTATAAAGCGCCAATAGTTCGCTCAGCGCTGTACATTACAGAGGGGGACAGAACATGTGACAGAACAATACCAATACAATGCATAACATGAGGGGATCGAGGGCCCTACTCTTTCGAGTTTACAATCTAGGAGGGTGGGGATGGTGGCACAGAAATGGGGTGATTTCACCCATGGAGCCCCTAAAAGGTATATAAAAGCTAATGGGTGACTCAGCCCAACAGGACCTAACTGTAGCTGAGATATCCCCTTTGGGTGGACTGGTCCTTTCATTAGGTTCCTTGTATAAATCATGTTTCTGTAGTCAAAATACACTGTATGGCTCTGAAAATTATTGAGTTCAGGTGTTTCTATTGAAGGGTACTGTTAATAATACAGCCACGCAAAGATATTTTAGACAATTGTGGACTTCTAATCTTGTGGCAAAAAATTTAGGGAAGGCTCACTTCTGTTCTTACAGGACTGGACCCCTGAACACAACATCAGCTCCATAAAAACATGGTTTGGAGGAACTTAAGTGAAGTGCACACAGCCCTGACCTTATTGGGATGAATGATTGTGATTCAAGTATTTTCATCCAACATCAGTCCCTCACAAATGAGAAACCTGCCCCTGAAAGGTCACTCTATAGCACTTAGTTGTTTCACTTGTTTTTGTGTCATACTAACTGTACACTAGAAATACAAAAAGTACAAAAAGAACACAGAAAAGATGTAGCAAAATGGCATTAGGAAGGGGCAACATTATATAAAGAGAACATTTTCTTTCTGATTGTTATGTTTGTGAGCCTAATACCTATTGCTCTTCCCGACACATCTTGTCTCTTCGAGTATCCAGACAACCGTTATCAAGAGAATTTGTTGTGTGTCACTTCTCCCTTCCAACAGCGAGAACGCATTCATCAAAAACCCCCAGCAATCTTGACAGATCTGGTCTTTTCTACCAAGAGCTGTCTGTTTACAGATACTGATAAAAATATATATTTGTGGTATATTAAATAGATTTTAAAAGACAAAGAGAATTGTCTGTCATATGTTATATATGTCTATAGACAATGGTCAGGTTACAATCCAATTTATGTATGTGTCACCCCCCCACCCAAGAAGCACAAAGATAAATAAAACTCTGGGGCTGGTACAAATAATTTATGTTGGGCTGGTGGCCCTGAATGGAGATAATCCCCAATTCATACCTCTATTAGAGGGGGACCCAAAGTCAGTGACATTTATACATATTACTAGCTGCTCCCCATTCAGACCTGTGATAACAGTACCTATGACTGGAAAGTCTAACAGCACCAACGTCCTTTGCAATGCTTGAAGACTGAAAAAAAAACATGAAATGGGTTGTGCTCGTTTGTTGAAGGAAGCTGAATAAAAAGAATTGTTTGTGATGATGGCTTGGGATTTTATATAGTATTTTATTTAGTTGAGTCTATGTCATTTTTACAGAGCTGCTGTCAACCTGTTTAGCTCATGTACTACTTTCTCATGTATAACCTATCCCTTAGAGCAGTGGTCTCCAATCTACAGTCCAAGGGCTGGATGCAACTCTTTGTTTGCCTTTATCCGGCCCATGTGTCACTGTTCCTACCACTGATACCAGCCACTATTTCTTCCATTAACACCAACAATGAGGCACTATCGGGCGGACTGACAACTCATGGGGCCCCCGGGCAATAGGGGATCATGGGGCCCCTGTGTCCTTGCCCAAACTCAAAAAAGCCTATGAAAAAGGTACCAGGGGCATCAAATGGGGCCCCATACTGACCCCGGGCCCTCGGGCACTGCCCAAGTTTCCAAATGATTAGTCCACCCCTGGGCACTAGTTAATCCACTGATACCAATGATAGGGCACTATTCCTCCCACTGATACCAATGATAGGGCACTATTCCTCCCACTGACACCAATGATGGGGCACTATTCCTCCCACTGACACCAATGATGGGGCACTATTTCTTCCACTGACACCAACAATGGGCACTATTCTTCCCACTGACACCAATGATGGGGCACTATTCCTTCCACTGACACCAATTATGGGGCACCTAATGATGGGGCACCCAATCCTCTTACTCTATTGACCACCAAGTCTGAGACATTGTCTACTCCCATTGTTGCTGGGGCATTTTATACTCTCACTTCTCAAAGTTCAGCCCTCCTAAAGTCTGAAGGACACTAAACACTGCCTTAGAGTAAAGATGTGTGATGTAATATGTTTTCTTTACGACACCACCCACCTTTCACCATGGCTTTCACCATAACTAAAGCTCTGATGCCCAACTTGTGGTCTAGGGACAGCAAACGGCCCTTTGGCACTTATTGTGTGGTGTCAGAGCCCCATTATATCTTTCACTTTATCTTTACTGTTCTCTGTGCTGACCAGGGGCGGACTGACAACTCATGGGGCCCCCGGGCAATAGGGGATCATGGGGCCCCTGTGTCCTTGCCCAAACTCAAGCCTATGAAAAAGGTACCAGGGGCATCTCATGGGGCCTCTTACTGACCCCGGCCCTCGGGCAGTGCCCGAGTTTCCAAATGGTTAGTCTGCCCCTGGTGCTGACTGTCCCTTTTCTCCTTTTATGTTTTTCTAATGAATCTTGCTGAAAAAAATATCAAATTTGGCAAAAGTAGGTTTAAGGTGGTTAAAGAGAGCACAAATGGGTCAATGAAAAGCAGTATGTTCACAAATAACCTCACCTCCGCTATAAAGAGGGAGGAAATCATGGAATGTTGGGGATTTAAAGGGTGCTGTCAAAAGCAAAAAAAAACCAAAAATAAAATCTTTTTTTTTATTCATACAAATTTTTAAAAAGTTTATATGCATAAACCTCTTGACAGAAACATATAATGCAGGATACAATACAATCAACCAATAAATATACTTGAAATTGGAAGAAACAAAGAACATATGGGCGTTTCACCCAAAAAAGAGCTTCTTCAGGATGCACTTCATTTTTGCAAAATGTACAATTTTGTAGGCAAAATAAAAGATGTACATGTATATCTATGTCAAATATGACAGGGACACACAGCCAAAACAGCAGATAGCGCTCACATCACATGGATAGCTTCACAAGATATTAAGGTCATGCAAATAGCAGTAAAAGGGATCAAATCCTGAGTACTGGATGAGGACAAAGATCCAAAAAAAAGGAGTCATTCAATCTCCTAGCATGCATATAAAATGGCACTTGTGAATAAAGCCATGAATGGAGAGCGACTCCTGGATGTAAACATTATTGTGTGGGATGAAAGCCAGACATCTTAACTCCTTAGGGGGAGAAGCCTCCCTGAATGATCCATTCACATGATCAGCATAAACAGCCAAAATAGCGGTGACACAAATGTGTCAGCATTGATTTGAAAAAGGGTCATAATAGCCGTGATTTCTAGACTTGTTCCTTCAGACTATGACTGTCTCCTAAAGCATATTCCCAGTCTCCAACAACTTCTTTAGTGTGTTTGCCACCTCTGACCATCTCTTTTACCATGTCTGCAGTCTCTGACCATTGTCTGTACCACATCCATAGTCTCTGACCATCTCCTGTATCATGTTCTTAGTCTCTGACCATCTCCTGTACCATGTCCATAATCTCTGGCCATCTCCTGTACCGTGTCCGTAATCTCTGGCCATTTCCTGTACCATGTCCATAGTCTCTGATCATCTCCTGTACCATGTCCATAATCTCTGGCCATCTCCTGTACTGTGTCCGCAGTCTCTGGTCATCTCCTGTACTGTGTCCGCAGTCTCTGGTCATCTCCTGTACTGTGTCCGCAGTCTCTGGTCATCTCCTGTACCGTGTCCATAGTCTCTGGTCATCTCCTGTACCATGTCCATAATCTCTGGCCATCTCCTGTACCGTGTCCATAGTCTCTGACCATCTCCTGTACCACATCCATAGTCTCTGACTTTCTCCTGTACCATATCCATAGTCTCTGACCATCTCCTGTACCATGTCCACAGTATCTGGCCATGACCTGTACTATTTCCACTGTCTCTGATGAAATCTTGTAGCACACCTGCAGTTTTTGACCATTTCCTGTACTTTATTGACAGACTATGACCATCTCCTGTCCCATGGTTGCAGTTTCTGGCCATCTCCTGTGCCATGATATCTCTTGTAGCATATCAGCAGTCTGTGACTGCATTTCAATAGCATTATATCTGCTGAATAGTATATGTGGCCCCTTGGTTATGTCAAGGGCTGCACTTGAGGCTACCAATATCAACTTAGTTAAGCATCACTGTACTAAAGGCAGATAGACTATTCACTTTGCAAGGGAGTTTTCCCTTAGATTACAAATGCAGTGAAAAATCACAAATACCCAACCATGTGCAGGGTAAATTGGATGATGGAAGTCAGGAGAGCATCACCTCATTTACTAAGTGCTGGGGAAAATTCCCTTACAAAAGTGTAACTTCTCTTACAAATTGAACAGTCTATTTACCTTTATTAAATAAACCCTGTTGTGGGATCCACAATACAGTATCCATGAAAGGTCTTTACTTACAGTATATCCTATCATAGAACTTCTAAATGGTAGAAGTATCCTACTTTTTGTCTTAGATCCCTCTATCCAACTTTCTGCAGGTAGACCTTGTTTTAAATATGTTGTTTAGATCTCTGTACATATAAATGTGAACTAGTTCCAAAACTTTGATTTTCAATTTAGGAAAGTATGCAGAATGGCTGGAAGCTTTGTCAGCTTTTAACTTCCATCTTTGTGTTCAATAAGAACCTACAATTTCTTGTCTTGGTTATGTAACAGAAAGTAAGAAAATGTCCTTGATGGGGAAGCAGGTAGACCAAAAAATTAAGGCTGAAGTTTAGGTATGGGAATTTTCACATAGTTACATTGGTCCAGCTTGGTTCAGCCATATCTGTGGGATCACCGTGGAGCTGGAAATCACTATAGTAGGTACCACTACTCCAGTGATCTCCACTACTTTCTGGGTCTCGTGCTGAGCAGCTAGTGTTCTGCTACTTTGTGAACATAGTAGGTTACGATGTTGGTGTGGACACCATTTGGGGAACACTTTGCATTTGCTCAGTTATCCAGTTAGATGAGGTGGAGAGGCAGGTGGTGACATCGTGATCTCCAACCTTCCAGTCAGAGGACACTTTGCATTTATTCAGAAAATACAAAGGGGTTGATTTATTAAAACTGGGGAGTGCAAAATTTGGTGCAGCTGTGGATGGTAGCCAATCAGCTTCTAACTTTAGCTTGTTCAATTAAGCTTTGACAAAAAAACTGGAAGCAGATTGGTTTTTTTATACAGAGCTGCACCAGCTTATCCAACATGCAGTTTTATTAAATCAACCCCAAAGTGTCCTCTAAATGGCACCAGTGCCAAGCAAGCAACCTCCTGTATACAGAATCAGCAGAGCCACCACTCAGCACTGAATCTGGAAGCTAGTGGAGATCACTGAAGTAGCGGGGTCTACTATACTGATTTCAATCGTCCACATGGATCCCACAGGTATGGCACATACTTAAGTTGGTCCAAGTTGGATCAATTTAACTTTGTCAAAATTACCATAACTAACCTTCACCTTTAAGAAACATTTTGGGCTATAATTTCAATATTTGCTTATTTTCAATAACTAGTAAAAAAAAAAAAACAGTTGTTAAACTGGAGCTCCAGTCTCTGGTGAAAAAAAAATAAAAGTCAACAGCTACAAAAACTGTAGCTGCTGACTTTTAAAAAACAGCCACTCACCTGTCCTAGGATCCAGTGGTGTCCTCACTGCAGTTGCGTTCACTGGCTGTCCTGTGTCCTTGATGTCAGCATCTTAAGTGTGGGCACCCGGCTGTGACAGCTTGCAGCTTCACAGATGGGTGTCCACTGCGCACGTGTGAGCAGTGCTGTGCATTGTGAATGGTTCCACAGTTCTCTGGGACCTGTCAAGTGTCCCAGAAGACAGCAGGGGTGGGGGAGGAGGGGGAGGAGAACTTCCGCTTCTGATCGCCTAGGGGGTCACAGCAGAAGTGGGAGCGGGTACCTATCAAAATCAGGTACCCGCTCCCCCCTGCTCCCCAAGGGTGCCAATCCTTAACAGGGAGCAGGGGATGAGGCTTTAAAGTGGAACTTCCCCTTTTAGGTGGAGCTCTGCTTTAATCTCATAGTAATATACCATATGACTAGAAGTTTGTGGACGCATGACCATCACAACTTTTTGAACTTGGTAGAAATTCCAATTTCAAGACCATGGCCATTAATTTAGTCATTTACACATTACCTTGTTGGGTAGGTGCAATGTACTAGGTGTAATCCTAGACTCCAATCTGTCCTTTCAGCCCCAGGTCCAATCACTGACAAACTCATGTAGACTTCACCTCCACAACATCTCCAAGATACGACCGTTCCTAACCTCGGAAACCACTAAGCAACTCATTCACCCCCGTATTATATCACGCGTCGACTACTGTAACTCCCTCCTCACTGGCCTACCTCACCGCAGGCTATCCCCACTACAGTCTATCATGAATGTTGCTGCCAGACTAATCCACCTTACTAACCGCTCTGTATCTGCCACCCCTCTCTGCCATTCCCTCCACTGGCTCCCAATTACCCAATGGATAAAATTCAAAAACACTAACACTGAGGTATAATGCCGTTCATAACACTGCTCCTAATTACATCACAGATCTTGTCTCTAAATATCACCCAAACCGTACTCTCCGCTCCTCGCAAGACCTCCTACTCTCTAGCTCCCTTGTCTCCCTACCCCAGTCTATCAGGCTATCGCCTACTCTGCTCACCTTTAGGCGCACTCTGAAAACCCATCTCTTCAGGGAAGCCTACCCCGCCCCCAGCTAATACTGGAATCAACTACTCCTCCTACCACTCCATCCCCCACAGCTAATTACCTCTTGTACTACTATCACCTCCCTCCTAGATTGTAAGCTCCAAGGAGCAGGGCCCTCTAATCCCTCTTGTATTGAACTGTATTGTTACTGTATTGTCTCCCACTATAATGTAAAGCGCTGAGCAAAAGTCCTGTATAATAATAATAATAATAATAATAATAATAATAATGTGGTGCAGCTGCTGTAAAAACACAGGTTTCCAGAATGTAGGAAACAATGTATTGTAGAACATGTGAAAAGTACAACAGCCTGGTAGAGAAGCTCACCTGACCAGGAACTCACAACCAATGAAGCAGAGAGTCAGCAGTGAGTAGGCCCAAACTGAAAACAGTGCCTGGAGGAGAGCAGAATGTGGCGTTGCCTGTTCAAGCCAACAGAAACCTCTCTCCCTCCCTGCCGCTAGTGTTGTCCCTGACAGATAAGTATGCTTTCCCTACACTAGCCACTTTGCCATAAAACCTGGGGGCAGAGCATAAGAAGACTCTGCTTGACCCAAGATGGGCGCCAGAGTCACCTGAAACAAGCATAGCCAATGGGAACGTTGCTCTAGGGGACTGAGGTAATCATAGAGAAATCAAGTTTCTCTTGACTTTCTCCTCCAGCTGCATTGACATTCCAGACAAGAGCCACTTGAAATAGACTGCGCCTGCACAGGGGCGGACTGACAATTTGGAAACTCGGGCACTGCCCAAGGGCCTGGGGTCAGTAGGGAGCACCATGAGATGCCCCTGGTACCTTTTTCATAGGCTTTTTTGAGTTTGAGCAAGGACACAGGGTCCCATGATCCTCTACTGCCCGGGGGCCCCATGAGTTGTCAGTCCGCCCCTGCACCTGCCTACAACCTAGCATGTTGCACTTACCATGAAAAACCATACCTAGGTCCACTTTAACAACAACGTATATTCCAATAAAATGATATCTAAGTTCATATAGTCGTAGAGTGTCTGATTTTGAATTCTGGAGCTGTGTCTTTTCATGTTTGTATGGTAATGAATAGTACATCTGGTCTATAAAGGGCTTTTGAAAATGTGAAGATATATCCAACCCAGGGGCGGACTGACCATTTGGAAACTCGGGTACTGCCCGAGAGCCCGGGGTCAGTAGGGGACCCCACGAGATGCCCCTGGTACCTTCTTCATAGGCTTTTTTGAGTTTGGGCAAGGACACAGGGTCCCATGATCCTCTACTGCCCGGGGGCCCCATGAGTTGTCAGTCCGCCCCTGCGCCTGCCTACAACCTAGCATGTTGCACTTACCATGAAAAACCATACCTAGGTCCACTTTAACAACGTATATTCCAATAAAATGACATCTAAGTTGATATAGTCATAGAGTGTCTGATTTTGAATTCTGGAGCTGTGTTTTTTCATGTTTGTATGGTAATGAATAGTACATCTGGTCTATAAAGGGCTTTTGCAATAAAACTTTGTGCTGTAAGGAAAGGCGCAGCAAGCTGCTTGCTCAAGCGACACTTAGCGGCAGATGGCGAGGCTCGCGTTGACATTTTTCTCCCTCGAACAAATGATATTTGTCCTTAGTGGCGAGGTAAAGACGTAGCATAATCCATCTACAACCTTGATACCGAATGCATGGTCAATAGAGGCAATGTGTCTTCCCAGCCGCGGAATTGGTACCTGACAGAGCGGGATGGTTACAAATGATGCTGGTGACCAGGCTGGAGGAGAGACATTGTTATTTGCCCCGGGTAGGTGTGTGTCATATGGATCCACTGGCTACAAATTAAATAAGTGTTGTGAAGTATTTTGTTATGTTGGTCATGTAGCTCCTCTTACTCCCGGAGTCTACGTTATTGCAGCCTGACACGGCAACACAGGAGGTTTATGAGGACAAATGTGTTCATTGAAAACCGTATTTCACTGCAAGGCCAACGTTTGTAACATTTCATTCAAACACGGACATTGTTTTTAAATTCTTGCAAGCGACTTCAAGGTAGGTATTTATTGTGGTTGTGTACCTGCTATGTTCTATCCCTAAATTCTGTATATACAGTTCAATGAGAGCGTCAAGAGTCCAAAGTTTTATTGATAAAATTGGATCATAGAATGTCAGGGACCCAACAGACTCCTCCTTCATCAGGGCTTCAGGAATTTTGACTTGTTAACAGTGGCTTAACCTCCCTAGCGGTATGATTATTTCAGATTTTTGGTGCTGAAAAAGCGGTACCATTATTTTGCATGGAAATATGTAGTTTTTTTATTGTAGGCTGTAATATTTAGGAACAACTCACTGAAATCTGTCCGAACAAGAGTCTATTAAACATCCCGGGTATGATAA